GAAAGCAGGGATCAAAGCCCTGCAGGATCACTTTGATCCCTGCTTTCCCCTCCACTTGTTTTCTCTCTTCTCAGCTTGCTTCTGTGTATAAGACGACCCTCAATTTTTAGTCTAAAGATTTCAGACAAAAGTATAGTCTTATACATGGAAAAATGTTCTTATATTTTAAATTTCATGGAATGTCTTTGCTTCTTACAGAGCTGGGAAAGGAGTCTTTTCAGCCATGAAGCTCGGCAAAGCTCGTCCTCATAAAGATGACCAACATAGGAAGCAAGGTAGGCGAGACCCAGGCCTCCCTTCTCACATTCTTTCTCTTCCCAGTTCTCCCTCCTCTTCTTGTCTCTCCCGTGTCAAAGGGTGGATGTCATGACTGGATGCATCAGCTCTAAACAACGATGGCGTGTGGTCACCCACAACATCCCTGAACTGCCAGGAGGCCTTTGTAGTACTCCATATGGTGATCCGAGTTCTTCAAACTCACCCCAAGAAGAAAGCAAAAGTACTGATTAGTGCAATCAGAGATGGGGAGGAGGGGGAGGATTTTGTTCAGTCTCCATTTTGGTAAGAACTTACCCAATTCACTCCCCCTGGATCAATGCGGGACCCGCTGTGCCGTTTTCCAAATTTCTCCGAATTTTGCAATGTGATTATTTAAGGAGAAACGGCCCCTTTAAGGCTAATAAGCTTTACTCAGCCGCAGCCTTTATGAACTGTAGCCCACTTTAGCAGATGCAAATTCCAGCAAGATGCAGTGGGTTTCAATTCTTAATAACTCACTCGTTGCTTTAACGTCCTACAAAAATCTCAGTTCTTCTGGGAATGAGCTAACGTGGCCATCCTCTTCAAAATAACCCAGGTACCTGAGAAGGGATGCAACCGAATTATGAGCAAATCGGAATTAAACTCTCTCTGTGCTTCCCAGTTGCATCAACACTTACACGTCCATTGTGCATCTTTTCTCCCTTTCTCCTCCTGCTCCTGCTTTTCCCTAGTGCTTTGTCTCTAGTCCTGACAGAATTAAGCCTGTTTACACCCCTTTTCTATCCATGCAATCATGCCTCTTAACATCTGGTCTGTGCTTCCCTCCTTGGCAGACGAACCAGCCGTCCTGGAAACGGAAGATCTGGACCGCAAAGCGATGTGGCTTGGAGGTGGTCTGGATCCAGACACCATCTCCCTGGCGTCGGTCACAGCCGTCACCACCAACGTGTCGAATAAGAGGTGAGAAGGACAGGCCCCGGAGCCCGGGTGGAGTCCCGATTCGCCCTGTCGGATCCTACAATATTTTTGTTTGGTTTCTTGGATTTGAATTTATAGCCTGTTTGTTCCAAAGGGTTGGGGATGAGGGACGGTGTGTTCCTTACACACCCACCGACCCACCCCAATGTTTCTCTGTGCCTGTGAACCTCGATTATCCAAAGCCACAGGAGGGAACGGAGAGTCTTCCGTGCAGAACGTAGGCTCATGGCCTTCCAGGGAGAACTTTAGCTTGGATTTTGCCAAGTTTCCAAGGGTGTTAATACCGCCATCCCAAGAAGGCCAGTCTTGAGTGAGCGGGACCTCGATGGGCTACCTGACAGAAGATCCCCAGTTGATCATGGAAGGTGCAAGAGGTGGAGGATTTGAAGGCTGCCCCCCCTTTTTTTATAGACTGGGTTCAGCCTCCGTGCAGCTCTGCAGTTCTTTGTATTAATTCTTCCTTGGAAGATTTATAGGGCTGTCATGGTTACTGCATCTATCCCAGCAGTTGGCCTATTTGTTGAGGGCGTTGTCAGTTTTGTGTGTTGGCCACTGCCTAACTTATATATATATGGCGAGCTGTCTACACACAAAAGTGGTTGCAATTTATTTGAACTGCAGGCCTTTTTGCACTGATGGAAACCTTTCCCTCATTCAGTCTGTCAGGAAACAAGGGGAAGGTTGTTGTAGGTGTTTTGGTCTGTTTGGCTGTGTTTTGGAGATTTTTCTTCCCAATGTTTCGACAGTCTCTGTGGCTGGCATCTTCAGAGGACAGGAGTCGGAACTCTGTCTGTGTTCTGGTGTAGTGTGTGGGATAGTTGAGTATTTGTAGCTGTGAGATCAGCTTTTTGTCCTTTTCAGGAAATGTGGTGATTATGGTGATCAGGGTGTTTTTTTATTGTGGGTGTACGATTGTTGTGATAAGGGGGGAGATGATCTGTCACTATGATTGATGAGTATCATTAGCTAGTCTTTTGTGTGCAGTGATTTGTGACTGGGTAGAGTTTGATTCATCCTGATCACCATAATCACCCAATCTCCTGAAAAGGACAAAAACACAATCCCACAGCTACAAATACTCAACTGTCCCACACACTACACCAGAACACAGACAGAGTTCTGACTCCTGTCCTCTAAAGATGCCGGCCACAGAGATTGGCGAAACATTAGGAAGAAAAACCTCCAGAACAAGGCCAAACAACACCCCCCCCCAAAAAAAGCACCTACAACCACCATCGGATGCCGGCTGTGAAAGCCTTCAAGAACACAAACAAAGGGAAGAGATTGAGCAAAGCCACTCCCCTCTTTCCAGTGGACACTTCAAAAATGCAGAAACACTGACTCTGGAGAAAAGTTCTTTGCCTCCAGGTATAGCCTAACCATTAGAGGAGTGCAGGTTTGTGTTTTTGGACCACGTCGTCCAAAAAGCACATCTGCATATCTCTGCCAGAAACCATAGTACCGACCCTAATCTACTGACCTAGTTGTTAAGACACATTGAGTTAAGAGACGTGAAGCTCATTCACAGAGAAGGGGGGAGAACATCCATTAAACGTTTTGCATTCCATGGAATTCCAGTAGAATGAGGGTTAGGGTAATATTTACTAGTCTTGCCCCTTCCCATTAAAAGGGGGCCAGTGCAACCAGGCTATATATCATATCCTAGTATTATTGGTCACTGGGCTGGGGAGGGGATGACAAGGGATTCTCTCCCCCCCAATATATTGCATTGTTGTTGTTTAGTCGTGTCCGACTCTTAGCTGGTACCAAAAAAAAGTACCCCAGTTGGGACCATTTTTCTCCAGCCTAATTTTTATCTATCCTTAAAAAAGTTGTGCTGGACAAGTGGCCAAAGCTCACGGACTTTGAACAAGATTCAGAAGTGAACTTGGGTAGCTGAGATCTACAGAAGGGGGGGGGTCCTTCTGACCTTCCCCCATTGCACCTTTGTCTGGCACCATAAACCCTGCTCCCACAGCCTTTCCTGGACCTCCCCATCCCATTTGTAGAGTGTATGGGGACTGTGTGTGTGTTTTTTTCCCCTGAGGGAAGCAGTCGGGTTCTGGACAACGGTACCATCAGATTCTAGCTGTTATTTACAGTGTTTCGGGGGGTGGGGGTTGGCATCTTGGGCAATGCCTTCCTTTACAGGTCTCCCTCCGGGGTAAATTTTGCCTCAAAACAGGACTCTGGAAGAACTGAAACGTCCCATCTGTAGCATCAGAAACAGATGGAAAACTTTGGGCTTTTTCCGGTCCTAACATTCTGGTGATGGCTTTTTTCAAGGTCGAAACCCGACATCAAGATGGAGCCAAGCGCCGGACGGCCAATGGATTACCAGGTGAGGCGTTTCCAGCCCTCATTCTCTGCGGGTTGGATGTGTGGCTGCCCCAGAAGCATCGCCCAGCTGAAGGCCCCCCGCTTGCCACCACCGCAGTTCCCAAAGAGTTCCGGATGTGCCTTGTCTCTGTGTCGTTAATGGTTCAGGAATCATCCTCTAATCTGGAACCCTTCTCGTCGGCTCTTCTGGGTGGAGGGTGTGTGTGTGTGTGTGATTCCCACTTAAGAGCAAAACAGAGCATCTGTATCCTTTCATTGATGCAGCTCTTGCCGTAACCCCTAGAGTCCTTCTTCAGTTTCCTACGTCGGCTCTTCTGGGCGGAGGGTGTGTGTGTGTGTGGGTGGGTGGGTGAGTGTGATTCCCACTTAAGAGCAAAACAGCATCTGTATCGTTTCATTGATGCAGCTCTTGCTGTAACCCCTAGAGTCCTTCTTCAGTTTCCTCTAGGAAAGGGGTGTGGGTCATGGGAGGTGTAGTCCGCCAGCACCAGCCTTCTCACCTGCTGAAGAGGACCCAGGGTCCCTCCGGAGCCTGACTGTCTCTTCCCCTCCCCGCCTAGGTCAGCATCACGGTGATCGAAGCGCGGCAGCTGGTGGGTTTGAACATGGACCCCGTGGTGTGCGTGGAGGTGGGGGACGAGAAGAAATACACGTCCATGAAGGAGTCCACAAACTGTCCGTATTACAACGAGGTGAGCTCGCTTGTCCTGGCCGATGAACTGTCCTTGGAGGGCCTTGGTGTTCGTGAAAGTCCAGGAGAGGGTAGAGAAGGCACACACGACCCTTCTAGGAACGGGTCTTTCCTGGGGGTTTGGAGGTGGCCATGGGAGCTGCCAAGGATGGTTTTTGCAAGACCGCGGCAGGTGTGACCATTTCGGTGAGAAGCCATCAGACCCTTGAAGTCCTTCCAGCATTGTCTGGGGAGGCTAGCGCGGCCCTCGGGTACCAGCCAGACCCTTGGGGAAAGGAAAAGATGGCCTTGGGCTCCATGAGTAGGTCATGGTTTGCTGTGGGGCTGGGCTAACCCCTCTAATCCTGTGCCCCATGCATGCCTCTGATCTCCCAGGGCGTCCTTCTTTGCTTCTCATTGTAAGCATCAGAGAACAAAGGGTGGGCGGAGGGGGGGGCACTGGCCTGATCCCTGTAGCAGGCGCTTTGCTTCCTTGCTTGCAATGGCAAATTCCGACCCAAAATCTGCATTAAATTCATGTGCACTTTGAATGTGGGGAGCTTCAACTCACAGTTTTAAACAGCACCATTCATTTTCTCAGTAATATGAAAGTACTCCTCTCTCTCTCTCCCTCTCTCCCTCCCTCCCTCTTTCTCTCTCTCTCTCTCTCTCTCTCTCTCACACACACACACACACACACACACACAAAGTGTGTTAAAGGCTAATTATTATATTTTAATGTGAGCTTTCCTGGGCATGTCGACTTCCTTATGGGAACAGAACAAAATATTGAATGAAATATCAGTAACCTACTAAATATTTCATTGGCTCTTGGATGTATGGAACGTAATTTGACTTATGCTGTTTACGGACTCTGTTGTAAACATTCCTCAGGAGACAGAAAACACATACCAGACCTGGAAAGAGGGGTGTGGGAGGGGAGGGGTTTTGAAGACTGGGGACTGAACTTATAATGGTTAGCCTTTAAGGTGCCACATGGTTTGGTTTCTTTGGATTTTGCCTGATAATCTTGCACAATTTTAAACAGCACCATACCTCTCCCAAATGCGTGCACGGACACAAACATGCTGTTCTTCCTGGACAATACTTACATTTTAATATACTGTAGTTTGATTCCTAAGTAGAACCATAATTCCAAGGAGCTCCTTTAAAAAAGCAAGAGCACTCGCTGGTGAAATTCCATCATTAGACAAAATAACCCTTTCCCCCCTTTTGACTTATGGAGAAGAAAAAAAACATTTACCATGTTTCATTGTCTTGGCAGTATCCAAAATGCACGTGCACACACAAACACACAGTTCTTCCTGGACAACACTTACATTTTAATATAGTTTGATTCCTAAGTAGAACCATAATTCCAAGGAGCTCCTTTAAAAAAGCAAGAGCACTCGCTGGTGAAATTCCATCATTAGACAAAATAACCCTTTCCCCCCTTTTGACTTATGGAGAAGAAAAAAAACATTTACCATGTTTCATTGTCTTGGCAGTATGGAAAATATACAGCAGCTTTTCCCAACCTGGCTGCCCTTAAAGTTGATTGGCTCACTGTTTCCATCATCTCCAGTTGTCAACATGTCCATCAGATGAAGGGGAGTTGTAGTCTAGAACATCTGGGGAGGACCAGGTTAGAGAAGGCGGTTCTACAGGCGTATCCTGATAAATAAAAATGATTTCTGTGCCATCCAGTTGATTCTGAATTATGAAGACCCTTTTCAGGGTTTTCCAGGTAGAGATTACTCAGAAGTGTATTACCACTCCCTTCCTCTAGGGGTGCCCTGGGACTGTGCAGGTTTTGCCCAAGGCCACCCAGTCTGGCTCTACTCAAAGGAGACCCAGTGGGGAAGCGAATTCCCAACCTCTGGCTCTGCAGCCAGAGACATCAACCACTGAGCTATCCAGCCACCACATCGTATTATTACATTATAATGTTCTTCCTTACCATGCTTGACACATGACGCCTCTTTAAATCCTTTGTTCCTTCCTTTCCAGTACTTTGTCTTCGACTTCCACGTTCCTCCAGACGTCATGTTCGACAAGATCATCAAACTCTCGGTGAGCAGCCTCTGCCGTGAGCTCTCCTTTTCTCTCTTGGCCGCTAGAAGAAAATACCGAGAAACTGTGTGAGGGAGGGTGACCATTTCCTTGTTTACTGGGCAACAAATCTCTGGATCCCAACAGCAACATGAGCTAGTTAGCCAAGCATCTCCGGGTGATGCCAGACAGGGCATTTCTGCCTCCACTTTCTGTCACTTGGTGCTGAAACAGTGCAGGATTTGGCAGGGTTTGCATCCAAACCCTTGTCTGCAGGACTGGATGTGGCATAGCGCTATTCTGTAAGGCTGCAAGCTTTCCGTGACGAGCTTCCTCTTTCTTGAAGTTCTGTCCTGCTTTCATCATCCCCATGGCCACTATCAGTGAGCGATCAACATCGAAGAGGTCATCCAGATTGCTCCCGGGAGGCCCTTCTCGTGCGGACATCAGCGACCCCTGGGGAGCACCATAATGCTGAATCTCATGGCACCAGAACAAACTGATACAAAAAATAAATCAAGGGTTTGAGGAGAGACAAAAAAAGATAGACGGAGGTTGGGAGAATTTTCCAAAGGTTTCCTATGCTTCCTCTGGAACTCCTGAGTGGAGGAGCCTGTGGTCTTTTGTGTGCAGAGGTCCCAGGTTCAAGAGTGGATTGCTCCACTTGGAGAAGGTTCTCAGGTAATGTTGGAGGGCAGGGAGGGGTCTTCCTGCATTTGAGTCTGTTTTCCTTTTGCCGCAATGCAGGTGATCCACTCCAAGAATCTTCTCCGCAGTGGGACCTTGGTGGGCTCTTTCAAAATGGACGTGGGGACCGTTTACAGCCAGCCAGGTGTGTATGAAAAAAAGGAACCTTTCTTACAGCCTGTGAAACCTGAATTTGGGCATGCATTGGACCAAGGAGAGCTTCATTCCAGGTGTGTTCTTAGATCTGTGTTCTGGAAGCCCACCAACATGCAGCTGGGGCTGGCAGGATGATGCGATGCGAGTGTTTCTAATGTCGCCTGGACCTGATGAGTCCTCCAGATGAGTTGGGCTTCAAACTTACATCATCCCTGTGAGAAATGCTCACACCCTTGTTGCTTAAATGCAGTAACCACACAACCACGAATACAAGCAGCTCTCCTTTATTAAAAAGCACTTTTGCAAAAGCGGGTGTCCTAACTGGGTAGGCAACACCCATCATACGAGAAGCATGATATTCCTTATTCTCGGCCGCAGGGTCCCTCCCTTGTTTCCCCATTGGCCCGGTACTCCAAGGTGTAGAGCCTATCCGTTGCATCTAAACCTATCACAGGAAGGCCCGCCTTTGTTTACATATCCCACTCCTCTCTTTACCTAGACCCAGTGGTGGGATTCAGCAGGCCAGCAAACGATTCTGCAGAACAGTTAGTCCATTAGGTACTGGTTCTGTAGAGCTGGTGTGAACCGGCTGAATCCCACCACTGCCTAGACCCCAGATTCTTATTTATTTCCATCCTTATTTGGTATTAATGTTCCCTTTTCCTAACCTCCCTGCGGTCATTCTAA